ACAAAAAAATTGAAAGGAGTGGTCTCTACGCGTGTGAGCACCAAATGGGGTTGAGCTATCACTTAGAATCATGTTGATGGAAAGAGCCAAAGAGTGGAACACTCGTGTGACCACATTTCTCACGTGACTAATTGACCCCTTTCTCTACCTCTCTCTTTACAAGATAGAGAATCCACACTATAAAAAGCAGAACGTTAGGAAAGATTGGACAAAAGAAGAGAATATACTAATAGATTTGTCTAAAAACAATTATTCCTTTGTTTTCTCATAAGAAGCAGAAACAAACATAGAGAAAAAAGGTTGAGAATTTTTTACAAGGCATGACAATGGAGAATCGAGACGGAAGAATTAGAGAGATGGTGAAGAAACAGAGTTCAAGGTTTAAGAGCATTTGTGTCTTTTGTGGGAGTAGCAATGGCAAGAAATCTAGTTACCAAGATGCAGCCATTGATTTGGGAAAAGAACTGGTAATCATAATTTTTCTCAGATTTTCTTTGATGAGATCTTTTTAAAGATTCTTAAATCTTTTTTTTCCCTGAAAAAACAATGATTTCATTTTTCGTAACAGAACAAAAAAATGATTTCATTTTGTATTACTAAATAAACGTTCTGTTTAAGAAGTTTATTTACCATCAGAGACATTAGTTTGGGTTTGTGTAAAAACCTTGTCTTTTTATACATATAGCTTCTGCAAGAACATCATGAGGGTTCTTAATGAGCAACTTGGGTTCATAATCATAAAGAGCTTATATGTCAATTATTATTATTTTTTGGCACAAATCGAAGATAGGATAAAAATAAAGTTAGGGTTTCAAATTTTGATGAATATAGGTGACGAGGAACATTGATCTTGTTTATGGTGGAGGAAGCATAGGTTTAATGGGTTTGGTGTCTCAAGCTGTTCATGATGGTGGTCGTCATGTTATTGGGTAATTAACATATAATTATTTTATAGTACTGCAATATAATTCTCATCATTAGTTCATTACAAAGGTCATGGTTTTTAAAAAAATCTTATTATGATGCAGAGTCATCCCCAAGCTCCTCATGTTGCAAGAGGTATATTATTCATTAGAAAAATCAATGCTCAATGGATCTAAAGG